CCCAGATGAGTGGTTAAGGGCCACTTAGAGCTAAGTGGCATTCAGCTAGTTTAAAATATGCAAAACTTAGTCTTCTCATCTGTAAAACAAGAATCATTATACTAGAACTTTGGTAAGAGCTCTTGTCAGAATTAAATAAATGATAATGACTGCAAAGTCTGTGAAGCACTGGGTAGTATACAGCAAGTGCTCAATAAATGGGAGATTTTCAAGTCAATTCCTAGAGGGTACCCACAGAACTGAGGTGCTTATTCGAACAAAAGGAAATCTCTTCCACAGTATCATTCCTATTTGTCCCCTAGAAAGTTCCAGGCCCTGTGCTATAATTCAAAGAACCATGAGGCCACCTAGCAGCCCTCTGTGAGGCCTAGAAACAGAGGTGAGCAGATCTTCCAAGGCTTCTCTCTAAAATACAATCTTATATCTCTTTGATGATGTTTGATTTGCTTTTCTGTCTTACACGTCATGTTCCTGCTGATGATTTTTGTAAACTATTTCTTTTTAGCTTAAAAGAAAAGAATGGACTGATCCAAAGGTCAGAAAAAGAAGTTAGATACAATAACATAACCCAGGTTTCGTATGGAAAAATTAAATTTGCCCTGAGTTTTTAACGACTCATAAACCAAATGTAAGATCTTCAACATTTATCAGAATTTAGTTACACTTACAAAGCATTTATTGTGGCTAAAACACACAACTGTACAGAACAATCACAAAACATGCAGGTCCCTATCAGTCCATCCACTATTTAAAAAACAAAAATCATCCATCAGTATAAACTTTCCCCTTAATGTTAAAAATGTGGCCTTGGCTCCAGGGATAGGAGCCACACAGGTTCTCAGTATCTTCCTTTCAACGTTGCCGTGAACTTAAAACTGCTTTAAAAGTTGTGAAAAGAGAAGAAACATGGCCTTACATGGATCCACTACAACATGGCCAACCCAACCTTTGAGTCCATGCTTCAATTTTCTCCAGATCCCATGCAATCAAATAAACTGCTTTCTGTATGCCCCAAACACAACTGTAAGGTTAGAGCCAGCAGACCTCTGTTCTTGTTGCTAAAGACTCCTTAGAGTCTTCTTTTACTCCACTTATGACTACTGAAATCATATCCACTAGCCTAAATTATTCCTTTTCCAGAAAGAACCTCCTGATACCATTCCTGAATAGATATGTGTTGTTTTCTCCCTGTGCCCGCAGCATTCCATGCTGTATTATGACATTATTTGTTCTAATATGTTAGTCAAGCAGAACAGTTTGGTGATTGCCTGAGCAATTAATGAAAATTCTAATTGTCCTGGTATTTGCCTGCATGTGGTAGTGAGCACTGATATGCCAAGCATCACAGAAGGACTATGCATTTAAAGTGATGCAAGACCAGCAGAAATGAAAAATGCATGCATGCTATTGGTTTTGCTGTGTATTTATTAAAAACTACTTTGCAGTGAGTATGCATGATAATTTCTTTTTAAGGATGTTTATTTTCCCAGTTAGTAAATGTACCAGGATGGTTTTCACTAAAACATAAGTCAGCCAGCTGTTTGTTTGGGTTCTTGAATTAAATGATAAAAAAAAAAAAAATTACAGGCAGCTTTTACTCAACAGTGTTCTGCTTTAAACAACAGAATCTGTTACATATTTAAATGATCTAATCTTTTCAAACAAAAAAAGTTTAATTTTTTTTCATATAATAGGAACATGTCTTCAGAACTTCAAAACTTTCATTTCAGATGGCATATGGTTCCCCCTCACCCATCTGATACCCCGGGGATGCTGAAGCACTTAGGAGACCCAAGAGAGTGTGTAATCCAACATGACAGCTGAAGGAGGGAAGTTGGCAGAGCATCAGGACAGGTATCAGGGAAGGATAACTATTATTCTAGAATCCAGGTTTACCCCTTATCCTTTTTACAAGTTCACCAAAAGCAACATTTCAGGGCCCCTAAGAAGACAGCATCACTGTCATGAAGGTTTTACCCCAAGATGGGCTCAACCCAGACAAGCACCCAGACAAGCAGCTTCATGTCTCAAACTTCTCTGAAACACACAGGAAGGCCAGTGTTTTCACACTTCACTCTCCTAAATTCTCTATAACCCAACATAAGCTCCTGCTAGCTTTGTAGTCGGCTTCTCTTTCCTCTGGACTTAGCATTTACCAGTTCAGCTGTGGGCCCTGTTAATTTCCCTCCACAGCCTTTCTTCTTTCCCTAACACATGCATGCTGGAGCCGCAGCTAGAGTGCTGACTAAGGAAGAACAATAGGAGGCTTTGAGCAAGGCTCAGCTCCAGACCTAGTCAATATTTACTTCAGTTTGAAGCCACTGTTTTAAAGCTTCTTCCAAGCAGAACTCAACTGTGGGGAGTCCCCAGAGGTTTCTAGATTTTATTTTAACAAGAGGGAAGAGAGGTGTAGAGATAGAGTAAATAGATTACTGTCCAAACCACTTTCTCAGAGAAAATAAGGGAGACTATTCAACAAAACAGGTTAGACTCTCAATACTAATTGGCAATTTATAGCAAGAAAAACCAATCGTCTTCTAACACCAATTGTTGCCCTCTTAAAACTCCTAATCAGGGTGCAGTGCAAATCCACTTAATGTGACCCCTGCATATCTTGTGAGTGAGCAGGTCTCTGATCCTATCAACCACCCAGAGTTTGCCAATGTTTGCCTATTCTACCCAAAATAGCACTGCAAAGGCTGTAGGTAAAGTTGACCCAAAGTCTGTAAGTGTCTGTCAAGCCAGAGCTTAAGCCAATCCAATGTGTCCTAAAATGAAATTAGGATCATCAAACTTTAAAAATTAAGAGTGTGTAGTGTTCCTGAGTATGATATCTTAGTAGACTGGGGCAGATGATGCATGATGCTACTACACAGATACTCTCCTCTCACCAAATGGCTTATTATGGGATGGTAAGTGGGTTGATTATTTGGGCCCCAAACTATATTGGAGTCAATGGAGTTTCCTTGTGAGTTTACATTGCCTTTTGTTGGGAAAATGTAGGGATACAGCATATTAAAACAAACAAACCTACTTAACTATACATTCTAACTGCCTAATTCATTTTAACTTATTTTCTTTTAAAAGGAATCAATTGCCATACAATTAAGCCAAAGTAACAGTTGGGAAATCTTTAAATGAAAAGAGTTTACTAAAGATTTTGTTATAGCCCAAGGAAAGAAATTCATGATTATCTGTGGTAAACAACTGTAATACTAATTATTTCATTCAAATCAATCGATGGACTTTATTATTTTTAAGACCTAACCCTACATTCCATTCACATTTTACAATATTTCTATAAGGGAAGAATCAAACAATCCAAAAAGCTTAATAAGAGAAATTGAGGAAGATTTGCAACTGGTCAAAATTTAAATTTCTAGTTTATGATGTTTGCTTAATAAAGAAGTCATTGTCTTCTAAATATGTAAACTATATTGACATAATTTAGGCTCTGCAAGGAGAACTAAGGAAAATTCAAACCACTCCTCTTTTCTTGTAAGCCATGGTTACAGCATAATTGGCCCATTTTATTCATTTAAATTTATCAACTCACTGAAATATTTTAATTCTCATTTGCCACATTAATAAAAGTTTAAATAAAACATAAATCATATAATTCAAACATAACTCAACATCAAGGACCTACTGGATTGTTATATGCCATTTCATCAACATGCCTTCATGAAAATACAAAGTAAACCTAGTTAAGGTGGTCTCTAGCTGACATATCTAAACTGATATACCAGAGTAGTAATTTTTTAATAATTCAAAGTGATAGTAAGTAAGTTAGCAAAATTTAAACCTTTTGACTACCCTTTAGTGAAGAAAGAAAGCCTAGCACAAGAGTAAGATTAAAAGTATTAACTATTCATTGAACACAGAAGAAAAGTAACATAAAATTAGGAAGTTTCAACTTTGAAATAAACTCACAGCAAGCTCATTCCCTTAAAAAAAACCTAACTTCCAGTTTAGCAAGACAAAAGAAACCTACTTTTGTATGAAATGATTCAAGAACAGCAAAAATAAGCCCAGCATTCCCCAGAGCAGAGCAATTCTAAGTATTAAAACATTGTACTTATGAGGGAAATCTGTTATTCAAAGTTAGCAGTGCTCTTTCAAAGAATTTGACTACTGCTAGTAATAAATCTAATATTTTTTATTGCCATTAGGCAAGTTCTATCATTACATTTTTGGGTAAAGCACTTACGGATCATTGATATTTTCCTTACAAATTATTATGTTTTCCCTTTTTTTTTGCCCTAAATGAGATTTATAACTTTAAGAGTAACATAACATTATAAAATAATTATGGAAATATATAAGCACATTATCGAAATTTTAATACAAATAATGAGATATTTGTTATTGACCTAAATAGCTATAAGCATATGAAGTAAATCCCACTTTGAATAACCACCAGACAATTCTCCAAGAAAACAGTGTTATTCAGCTTTCAATGCATTAAAATACGTTTCCTTGACAAATCCTCAGCTAAATGCTGTGATCTATTTATGCTCCTAACACTAATGTGTGTATAATTAATATATACTAAGATTTAAGTCAGTCAATGGGTACAGTTCTTAAACAGAGAGGTGTCAAGAGGCTAAACCCTGTTTTCTGGCATCAAACTAAAAAAAATCTAAGGATTTCTGGGACCGCCTGGCTGCTATAAGAAACAGCCCCGAACAGGAATTGATTTGTTACAACAAGCTCCTCATTGGAAATACAGTACAAGCATTCTCCAAGACAGTGTCGGTATTCATTAAGTTCTCCTTGGAGATAGAGATATCGCACTGTACCAATGAAGTCCAAAGTAGAGAAAACAATATAGATGAAACCAACTGAGAGGAGAAGATGTTATAAATAAACGACCAATTTTACAAATGAGATACAAAAGACATTTCTGGGAATTAGGTCTTACCATCAAATGTCACTCTTTACATGTTATTACTCTTGTAGAAATCACAAGATAAAACCTGAAATGTGAACTTCCTTTAAAAAGAGCATTACACATGAATAAATCTATGAATTGTATCTTGCACAGAGGCCATGCTAATCTTTCCTGTATCGTTCCAATTTTAGTATATGTGTTGCCGAAGCAAGCACTATGAATTGTATCTTTTGAGGCTATATTATATATATATATATATAAAATAAGATCACACAGCTCAGATTTTTAAGTGAGTCAACTCTTCTATGATGCTTAGAAAATAAGTTTGAATTTATAAGAAAAATAAATTTCTTTTTATTTTTTGTTTGAGACAGGTTCTCACTTTGTAACACAGGCTAGCCCCAAACTATCAATCTTCCTGCTTCTGCCTCCAAGGCCTCGGACTACAGATGCATTATTACCATGCTTAGCTATAAGAACATACTTTCTACGCAACATATAATGAACTGAATTACAATGTGATCGTCACCTGTATGGTGTGAGGTAACCCCCTTCCATTTCTGTTCTTTTTTCTCTAGCCATATTGCAGCATGCCTGATTCTGTTCTTTTACTGACAGTTTTATAGCAATTTTGAAAGTCACACATATATGTTTTCCTTAAAATTTCCGCAAGAGAGAAACATCTTTATCATGCCCACTTATCAAGACAAAAAAATTGAGATTCAGATTGGCAATGATGAACAGAACACATCTGTTTTAGTGCGAGATGAAATTTAACTAGAACTAAAACCTGTCTGTGAAAACAGACAGGTCTACACAGTGTGGTTTTTAAATACGTATTCTTCTACTTTAAACTTATCAATGGCCAGAAATCTTAGGTACATGAACACTATTTTGAACAGAGCCAATTCCTTTAGTTTAATGAAGTGACCTTATTTTGATCAATCAAAATAACCTACTCCTAAACTTAACTATATGCTAACACATGGCATATACCTATATAAAGCTAATTAAATTCAATCAGAGAAGATTCTTGAATTTCAGGAACTATGAGATTCATAACCCCTAAAAATCCTAGGAGACTATCACTATTTCTGAGAACCCTATTGGACCAGATCAAGCACACACATAAAAGCCTACAACCAACCAACAGTCTTCCTTTGAATTACTGTTCTTAATCAGGTTTATTCTTACAAAATGCTACCCGATACTTTAATTAAACCCATTTTATCAACAATGTAGCAAGAAAAATATTTGCTTCTGTTTTATAATTAACTATAAAAATGTATTAGTTAATTGTTATATATATAAAAAAGGACACCTAAGGGCAACTCACCTATCCCTCTTCTTGTTTGTTTCATAAAAATACGCCTGATTTACACTAAAAAGTTTATTTTTTCTCATGATCAGTTGACAGTAAGAATATGAATGATGCTTTAAAGATATTAAAATTCACTTACAGTAGTACAATTACATTCATATTTGAAAATAGGAAAGCAAAAACAAAAACAGGCAGACTAATTAGAATTTAACTGATTCCATTACACCACATTAAATTTCCATGGTAAAAGAATGCTGGACAAGCTGTAGAGAAAGCCATAGCACATTTGTAGGTGAGATATAGCTCTCCGGATTTCTCACCCATAGAATAGCAGGGAAAGAAGGCATTTGCTCCCCGTTCTTCTATAACTTCAATGAAGTGCAGGCTACAGAAAGCAGCCCCTAAAAACCTAGCCAGTGGAAGCAAAGAAATTGTTCGTCATCTATGTTGAATGTAAAATAAACATTTTGGGTTAAGCTAACCATACGGATTTAAATTGGGAAAGTGTTAAAAATATGTTTTTGAGGTGTAATTTTGGAATTGCCACATAAAATACATCTGGGGAGAGTTTGCAGCAAATAAATATCCTTTGACATTTATGACAGGATTCTTTTTAAACTTTTGGACCAGGACATCTTTTTTATACCACTAGAATTTGCCTTTAGAGAATGGTTACAATAAAAATCCCTGGCCAATACTTTTGTGTGATGGCATATTTTTAATGAAGCAAAAATTTATTTTATACATCTGAGATTTAGGAGAAAGGGACTAGAAATGAAGATTACTAGGCTTCTTGGGCTTTTGAAAGGGCAGCTTTTATTCATATAACTGCTCAGACATCTTAGGAACTACAAAGCTATATAGAAAGTTCATGGCACAACACAACTTGAGAACCTGGTGATCCAAACACTACATCAAGAAAAAGCAGCCTGGACACCACCAAATGTGGTAACATCACCTGGAAACTTTTTAGAAATGCAAAATGTCAGGTCCTACTCCACCAACTAAATTAAAATCTGCATTTCAACACAATCCCCAGGAGATTCACCTTGGAGGTGAAAAACAGTGAAAAACAGTGAGCTGAGATGGTTCAAGGAAAGCTTCCTGGAAGCAGGGATGTTGTTTATATTGTGGTTAAAATGGTGCATAGCCCACACGGGACATTTAATAAACATTTGCCAGGTGAACTGACACATGAATATTTCTTACAGTACCTTTTACTCCATTTGGCTGCATTTACAAAATCTTTCAATCAAATCTGCATTGATTTGGGAGCAAAAATGTAGTCTAGTCACCTCAGAATTTGCTGTATGCTGTCCAATGTATTTCCTATATTGTCATTCAATAACTATTCTGTCATTTTATTTTGTAGATATTCAGTACATGGATGTAATTCCTAATCCTAATAAATATTAGCTATGATAGTTCTTTTTTTGGGGGGGGGGTCTGGTTGTGGGGCCTGAACTCTGGGCCTGGGCGCTGTCCCTCAGCTCTTCAGCTCAAGGCTAGTGCTCTACCACTTGAGCCACAGTTCCACTTCTGGCTTTTTTCTTTTTGCTTATGTGGTGCTGAGGAATCGAACCCAGGGCCTCAGGCATGCAAGGCAAGAGCTCTACCACTGAGCCACCTACCCAGCCCCTGATAGTTCTTTTTGTTTGTTTGTTTTTGTTGTTTTTTTTTGTCAGTCATGGGGCTTGAACTCTGGGCCAGGGTGCTGTCCCTCAGCTCTTCAGCTCAAGAGTAGCACTCTACCACCTGAGCCACAGCGCCACTTCCAGTTTTCTGGTGGTTAATTGGAGATAAAGAGTCCCATGTACTTTCCTGCCCTAGCTGGCTTTGAACCGTGATCCTCAGCCTCCTGAGTATTAGGATTACAGGCATGAGCCACCAGTGCCCAGCTTATGATAGTTCTTTAATATGAAAACTCATGTAATTCTTCAACTCACCTGTGTGGCTTTGCTTTTAGATGATTCTCTTTACACAGGGAGAATTCACTCAAGGAATGAAAACAGTAACATAAAATATTATAAAAGGACAAGTCTTAATTCTATGTGATACCAGGAAACAAGGCTGGTAAGAGTAACCAAAATTCAATACTGGTTCTAAAACCTTTTATCATTCAATAGCTTCCAAATCTTTTCTTACCAAATTTTATACCAAAGCTGCTATGAAATCAAGAAATACCTTTTTTACAATTTTCATTCTTAAATCCATCCACTGGTGGAAAGGCTCAGAGACAATGAAATGGCCAAAGCCACCAAAAAAGAAATCTAGCAATGCAGATTTCTACATAATAAATAAATGGATTAGTTCTTGAATAACCAGATACCAAAACAAAAGTCTGGAGCCAAGAAATAACAACCCACAAAAAGTTATTTTCAAGAAATAATCAGATAATTAGCAACATAGATAAAACCCACTACAAACTAATAGTTAAATATTGATAGACTCATAAATGTGAGTGAATTTTTAATATCATAAAGAAAGGATACAAAGTTAGGGTGTCTTTCCCCTAAACAGAATTGCTGATTTTTCAATTTTATTAATAGATCGTGTAGACTTTGATTTGCTTTGATTTACTTCAGAATCTTTGAAACTTGAAGATGATACAATAAGTATGCTGACCTATTTATATATATTTATGTAAAATATCACATACATACATGCGTGCATGTGTGCACACACACATACACACACATATGCAGTCATGTTGTCTTCCCAAGAGTATAGTTGACAATGGTGATAGCAGTGTGTAATTAGTGTTCATTGTTCCTAGCAGCTAGAGTTCCATACAAGACCTTTTTTTCTTTTTATGGTGTAAATGCTATGGAAATAATACACTACTAGTAGACATTTAATTATGGATCCAGTAATCTCAGAAGAAACATTGCCAGAAAAAATTGGAATCTTGTTTTATATGCATCTATAATTCTGGGTGTGGTGAGTTTTGTTCTCCAATTACAATAATCTTCAAAACATTCACAGCAGGCATAAAATGGGAAAAATTAATTTTCCCACAAGTGTCTGTTGACGATTGAGTACATATACAATGCTACACCAATACTATGCCTGGTCTAAAATATTAATAAGTATAAAGGCATTACTTATTAATAAGGAAAATACTCTTTAGAATAGCTTTATGTTTTGATGGTATCCGAGAAGAATATGAAGATTCTGTTTTAAATTTTGCTTTCCAAAGACTTAAAAAATTAGCACTGGTAATATTGAATTTCAGGGTGCTATATTTCCTGAGGCTTACTCTAATTTGTTTTATACAGTATTTAAAATAAAGCATCCCCAAGTTGCTGCCTTGGCGGACACGAGATCTGTCACTGAGGTCCTTTCTCGCCTGATTAATTAGTAATTGGGAGACACATTTTGGCAGCTTTCATTTCCCTATTATTTTCTCTAGTTTGACACAAAACCCTGTCAGAAGCACCACTATTTGAACTGTACCCCTCTTAGTGCTGGGTCACTAAATTTTAATAAATGCAGCCCCTGCCAGAAAACTACAGAAATAGGCATAAAAGTTTATTGAAGCAGTAACAGTAAACAAATATATGAAGAAAACACTGAATGCCACAGTATCTAAAACATTAATGGTCTGTGTGAACCCAGGGGTTACTGGCAAGATTGCAGAGCAGAGACAAAAGGAAAGGGCCTTTAACAAACCCACTGCTTTCATCTATCTTTAAGAAAAAGTATTTGCTAAATAAAGCAGGCAAATACTTCACTGCAGCAGAAGGTACATCAGAGCCTCCCCTTGCCTCCTCCGTTACTCCAACTAGATGAATAAAATTGGAGGAAGGAAAAGATTTACAGCAACTACACAGACAGAGCAGCTCTCCAGAAGTCACTAAGGTGCTGTCTGAGCCAAAGAAACATTTCTCATAA